GGGGGGGGGGGGGGGGCGGAATGACGGCACAGGGCCATTTTTTTTTTTAGCAGAGGGGTTCACAGTTATTGATAGAGGTAATTTTTGTTATTTATATATTTTGTAACGCATGGACAAGAATGTTTCACGAAAGTGATCGCTTGAATGGATCTCCATCTGCTGGGAATTTAGCACAATTCTCATTGAAATTTTCATCACAGTATTTCCCACAAAAAAAATTGAGGAATTCAATTCATCAAACGTGTCTGCCTCGGTATGGGCCATCACCTGGGTACGGGCCGTCACCTGGGTACGGGCCATCACCTGGGGGGACGGTGTAGGTCTCGTTGCTCCGCCGCGACTCGCTGGACAGGGATGCCGGGGTCCTCCTCAGGTCCTCCACTCGCATCTCGCCCCGGTGTCGCAGGTAGTGGCCGGGGGTGTTCCCGAGCTGGAACGGGGCGGGGGAGAGGGTGGGAGTCGTCCATTCAGGAATGCTTAATTCCTCTGCTCGATGTGTAAATCATTATTACAATGCTCAATTGCTATGCTACGATGCTAATTACGATGCCGAATTACGATGCCAAATTACGATGCCAAGCTACGATGCCAAATTACGATGCTAAATTACAACGCTAAATAAAAGTGCTGTATTAAAATCTTTAATAGAAATGTTTAATGAAGAAATCATGATTTTATAGGATTGCGTGGGGAAAGTGGGGCAGATGCTGATGACCGGAGAATGTGGGCTTCGATGCCAAGCGGGAGATGGCAGCACTGAAGGCGAAGCGATTATTAATGCAGCTCTGAATTCAACTCTCGTTGCCTTGGGAACGGGGTCCCAAACACGAGCACGCTCGAAGTGAAGGGGGGGGGGGGGCTCGTGTCCTTCAAGGACAAAAGGGCGGAAGAAAGGGCGGTGTGCCGTGACGCACTTCGGGGTGGTTGACCCCGTTCGTTTTGGGTTTTTGTGTATTCGAGGGGGGGCGCGGGAAACGCGTGGGTGTTTTTTTTTTATTTTCAAGTTAACATTAAGTTTACATTGGAGTTACTTGCGAAATTAAATTAAGTGAAATCAGGCAGATTCTTGGATTTTGTTGAAAATGGACTCATTGTTTTCATCGTATGCTTCTGGACACATCTGCGCCATTTTCCGGCATCTGGCTTGCTGAAACTCAGAGAAATATATTGGAAATTTTTTTTTTTAAGTTATTCGTCAAATTTAAAAAAACCTGGAGGTTTCTAAGCTCTAATTGGGCGTGGAGGCACGAGAATCCCGAAACTGTTGGAGATCTTGGGAAAAAAAATTTTATAAAAGTATTTTAGGTCAGGAAAATTTGCATATTTTGCTACTTCGCCTGCGAGGCAAACATTATTTGCATGATTTCGCGAGGAAAAGGCAAGAAGGGCCTGAACTCCCCGTGAAGGAGCGATTCGAATTTTCGCGATGAGATCGGACTTGCACGGATTCCCGACCCCTGGTCCCTTATATCAGGCAGGTTCTCACTTTAAAGAATTTATTTATTGAGGTCAATTTAGCAGGGTTGTCGCAAAAAATGAATTTTGTGGCGGATTTTGGCCGTAACCGGAGGTTGAGAAACGTCGTGGATTTTCGCAAATTTTGTGCAGATGTTTTTTTTTACCTGGTCTTTGACGTTCGGGTCGGCGCCGGCGTTGACGAGGACTTTGTAGAGGTGGCCCTCGTCCAGTCGGCCGACGACGGCCGCGTAGTGGAGGGGAGTCCGGGCGCCTCGGTCCAGGACGTTCAGGGTCTGGGGGAAGTTGTTGACGATGAACCGGATGACGTCGGCGTGCCGGTTGAGGACGGCCTTGTGGAGCGGGGTGGCGCCGGTCGCGGGGTCCCGGGAGAGGGCGAGCTTCAGGGCGTCCATGCGGGAGGTCACCTCCTGGAGGTTGCCCTCTCGCGCCGCCCGGTGCACCTCGAGGATCCGCGCCTGGAAATGCGTCGCTTTTAAAGGACACCTGGGTCACCTTTAAAAAAAAATGCCACCTGGGAAAGGGGACCGACCGTGTATCCCGGGACGTTGTCGAGGAATTCCTGAACCCTTGGGTCCTCGGACACCTTCCCGATCAGGCTGTTCCCCTCTCCTCGGACGACGAGCTCCTCCAAGGCCCCTGCGGGAGAGACTCACACATCCATGCGGCGGCCGTGGGGCTTTCTTCAAGGGGGGGGAGAGTGGGGGCGGGGGAGGGGGCGGGGGGGGGGGGGATCGCCTGAGTGGGGGAGAGTGGGGGCGGGGGAGGGGGCGGGGGGGGGGGAATCGCCTGAGTTTGTTTGCTTCCAGATGTCCGGGCGTTCTTGTTCTAGGGGAACTTGGCTCAACGAATTCTGATCGTGGCGGGGTGACAATTTGAAATTGCGACGTAGGTCGGGTTTTTCGATGTAAAAGTGATTTGGGAGAAAGTAAAAAGTTTTTTTTCCGTTTCGTGAAGAAATTTGGTGACCCGGTGAATGATCGTGATTTGAGGTTAATGAGTGACATGCACGGTGGGGTCGTGAACGTGGGGGATCACGCAAGCGTGCCATGCCGTTCGGCGGGTTTGCGTTACCGAGATCCCCTTGGTCGATGATGGCGTCCACATCCATGTCCTCGATCGGGTGAATGGACGCGGGGTGGGAGGGCGCGTGGTGGATGGGCGCGGTGTGGATGGGCGCGCGGTGGATGGGCGTGGGGTACTCCTCCTCCTCTTCCTCGTCGGCGGCGTGGAGGTAGTGTTCGGCCATGTGTCCCTTCTGGAAATGGGGTTTCAGGAGTCAAGGTCTTTGGAGTCAAGGTCATTGGAGTCAAGGTTGGAGGTGGACGCGGGCTATCGAGTTTAAGTTGAATATGATTTTAAGAATGGGGGTGACGCACGATGTCGATGACGGCTTCGTCGGCGCCGGCGAGGACCAGGGCGTCGTACAGGGCCCGGGCCCCCACCTTCTCCTCTCCCATCGCGGCGTAATGGAGCGACGTTCTCAGGTCCTGGAGAAAAAAAATTGTATTGCAAACTTTTTCTTTAAGGTGGCTGATTTTGCAATGTGGGTCGATGTGATTCGGAAAGGATTGAAGTGGGTCGAAGTGGGTCGAAATGGGTCGAAGTGGGTCGAAATGGGTCGACGTGGGTCGAAATGGGTCGAAGTGGGTCGNTGATTCGGAAAGGATTGAAGTGGGTCGAAGTGGGTCGAAATGGGTCGAAGTGGGTCGAAATGGGTCGACGTGGGTCGAAATGGGTCGAAGTGGGTCGAAATGGGTCGAAGTGGGTCGAAATGGGTCGCTCACCGAGTCCTGGATGGAGATGCCATGAGGATAGACCTCGAGGAGGAGATTGACGACGGGGGCATGGCCGTTGGCGGCCGCCTTGTGCAGGGCCAGCGCCCCGTTCTCATCCTTGGAGAGGGCCAGCTTCCTGTTGCTTTCCAGGAGGTCTTGCACTTTGTAGACGTCCCCTTGCATCGAGGCCTCGTGGAGCTCCTTGATCGCGTTCTGTCCCGGCGATACCAAATTATTTCCCGGTTGAAAAAAAATTCAGCGTTGAAAAAAAATTCAAGGATGGAGCTTTCTTTATTTTTTAAAGATTTTCTTAAAAAAAAAAAATTTTCTCCGTCGTTCCCGGAGATTTCTCGGAATTCCTACCGTGTAGTTCGGGATGGAGCGGAGGAATTCCCGGATGTCCTCGCTCCAGGCCTTCTTCCCCAACAGGAGGTTGCCCTTCCCCTCCAGGATGACCTGCTCGAGCCGCTGCTTGTCGCCGGCCCGGATCCACCGCTCGATGTTGTCCTCTGTGATGGCCTTCAAGGGCACCGGGGTCACGACACCGGTCCGGGCGACTTCTGGGGTCGTAGCCTGCCGTTTCCACGAGTGGAAGTTTACGAATAATTTTCAAATAACTTTGATAATTATTGATATTAAATTTCATAAATTCCTATTAAAAAATGATTGCAAAAAATTTGCGGAAGTAAAGCCTTCTTTTTTGCATGGTGGTAGAAGAATTGCAAGCAATTCTTCTATTCTTCATAGATATATTCCAGATAATAATAATAATAAATCTTGGGGCTCTTGGAAATATGCTAGAAGTTTCCCCATACCTTTTGAGGAGAAAGTCGCGGTCGTCTGGCGGTTCGAGTCGCCTTCCCCCGACTGGCATCCGAATCCTGGGAGTCTACAGTATCGGCAGAGGACCCGGAATTGATGGAGCCCCCGGAGTACCGTCCGGCGGAGCGGGGTGCGTCGGGGAGGAAAGTGAGAAGGCGGGGATCCAGGTCCACGTGGCCGGTCTTGCTGGCCTTGGAATAGGACTCGGGCGTCCTCCCGCGCTGGTATCGTAAGGATGGATGTAATCAAGGGTGTGGAACGTGGACGTGAGGGAAGGTCGTGGAGGGAGGGCATGGATGGAAAACGTACGTTGTCGGTGACGTTGGGGTTCGCTCCGGCTCTGAGTAGGGTGAGGTACGACTCCTGGCCGTCCTTGGCGGCGGCGGCCCAGTGCAAGGGGACGCGGCCTTCGTAGTCGGTCGCTTTCATGCTCTCGGGGCTTTTTTCGAGCAGGTAGCTCAGGACGTCGTGCTTGCCTAGTCCTGCAGCCTGTTGACGAGGAAACGCATCGTTAGCTCGGTGAGAATATTAGTGTTCAGCCGTCGTGTCGTGTAGTACCTTGTGCATGGGTGTGAAGCCTTTGGAGTCTTTTGCACCGAGCCAGGCGGGGTTGTCGGTTTTCATCTCCAATTCCGCGACGTCGCCCTTTATTGTTGCTTCGTGCACGTCTCGAATTTTTCCCTGTCGGCCAAAAAAAACCTTCTGCATTCCGTCCTTCGTCTCGGCCCTTCACATCCGTCCTTCATCGTTTCCTCACCATCAACTGCGGAACGAGATTGAGGAACTTCCGGACCCGGGAATACGCAGCGGTCTCCTGAAGGAGCTTCCCGCCCTGCCCCTCGAGGACGACCTTCTCCAGCCGCTCCAGGTCCTGCCCGTGGATCCACTTGCGGATGTTCGCCCGCGTGATCTGCACGCCTGGTCGATGGACGACATCCATCACGTCTTTCAGGGCGGATGCCTTTTCACGACGCCCACAAAGCGGCCATCGATCCGAGTCATTCACTCGCTGCTACGCAGTGGGGACGCGGCCAAGGTCTCCACTGCGACGCGGTATCGGGGACGCGGTTCCCTCGGTTCTTTTGTGTTCGCGGTACCGTGCCAGATTTTTTTTTCCTCCCCGTTTCGGCTTGACATTAATTTCTACAATGGGGCGTTTCCGCAGTGCGGAAAGAATTACTTTGCGTCTCGAAGGGAACTGTGTCCAAAGCGTTTCGGCCTCAAAACGGAAATCGATCGAGTCTGTGTCGTCGTGAGGCCCTTGTCTAAATATGTAATTGTTTTCCCCGTGCTATGCGGATCTTGTTTCCCTGAAGTTGATGGGCTGAATTCAACGATTCAACAAACCGGTCACGCGACCTTTGTGGCAAAGGCCCGTAACGCGATCCGGCTTGACCTTGCCCCATTTCATCCGGTCTTGCGGGCCCATTGGTGAACTAACCTGTCGGTTATTTTAACCTCCGTCGAGCTAGCACGGTTTTGGCTTTAACCTCTGATTTACCTTGGTTTGCCTTGGTTTCGTGCAAATTGGTTTTCGCCCGTTTTCTGCGAATCTTACGCCATAAGAATTGACGTTTCCAGTTGGCGTTTCCTGTAGGCTTTTCCAGTATTACGTTTTAGGGATGATGAGAACGATGGACGTTTGTTAGTTTGTTGATTGTTGCCGTTTTTTGCCGAAGTTTCGCCGGTTGGTTGATTTTCGCCGGTTGGGTAGGAGACATTTTTCTAGTCGTGTCTCGTCGCCGGTCACATGGCCTCGTTGAGTTTCTCAGAGCGTCAATAAAGACCGAGTTTGGGAAATCGTACTCATAAATACGTTCTAAAGTCAATTTTAGGCACAAAGCCAATTATTTTAGATAGCAAGAAAACCTAATTTCCCGACATGCATCCGCTGCGATTCGCCTTCAAAGCCCCGCGGGGGCACCCCCGCCCGTACGAAACCCCACAGCAAAGCTTCCACGGAATGCCCTCAATTTATAAACACATCAATATATTTCTCTCACATGTTCCACCACGACTAGCATGAAGCCTGCGCTCCAGTTTCACATAGCAATACCCGACAGAAAAGCTACCATGTACAACGTAAACAAGTCGAAAAAAAGCTGTCGCCCTGCATGTACCCTATCCCCTGCACTACACCCAAAGAATCACAGGTTCCGGCAACCCTGCTTCCAGAACGGACGGACGGCGATGCACTACGCCGGCCTGAGCACCAGTCCCGAGGACATGCTGGCCCTGCTCGTGTCGGCCGGGGGCAACCGCGACGACGTGGACGCCCTGGGCCAGACCCCGCGGTTCTACATCGACAACCCTGATCGGTTCCACGATCCCCCCAATCCCAAGAAGAGCTCTGGAAGCCAGAAGAATTCCAAGTTTCGGACTCGGCGGCAGGT